GTAGACGTGTATCACTTAGCTAAGAAATCCCAGAGTCCCTTAGCAGTGGTGTAGCCAAGGAATTGCTGATTGATTTCAGCAGTGGTTGAGGCATTGATGAAGCTCAAGATCTTTGCGTTGTTGATGTCCCATTCATTCGTGCGCTTGACAAAATCAACAACATTCTCATTGGTAAGTTGAGTAGGAGCAACAGACTTACCAGTCACATAGGAATACAAGCCATGAGACTTGAGAAGGATAGTCATGYGGTGTTGCCACAAGATATAGTTGTTTCCATTGAAAACAACCGAGATTGGGTTTAAGTGACTAGGATTGGAAGCCATAGTAGTGTTGATTGGAAACTTGAAAAATTAGAATCCCGGTAAGTAGAATCCGGGTGAATCCGGGTGATGCAGGAGACGCAAATGTCGAGATGGAACGGTTGTCGGCTGCAGCAGAGAAGCGGCGATGGAGGCTGAGTGATGCAAAACGATGCTAAACTGTGATAGGAGACGCAAATGTCGAGATCTTGAAATCGACAGATTTGGAGATCGAGTATGGGAGCGACAGAGATCACAATCAAGAACAACAATCGAGAAAAAAAAAAGGAGCAACCTATTGCTTTGATACCATGTTAGAATAAGAGAAAGAGAGGGCCAAAAGATTGCCGTTTGTATTGAATGAATATTGTGTAAACATATCAAGAAAAAAGAGAAAACCTAAGCTACTTATATAGGATAGTAATGAGTGCCTAAACCCTAAACCTAAAAGCCCACGGGCTTATATATATGTGCTTCTTATATACAACTAACAAACGTACGTGGGACAAGGTACCAGACTTTTTTCCTATATGGTCTATGTATCTGTCCAGAAGTTTTTGTTCTTCTGTGAAAGCATAATAAAAACTGTTGTTAAGTGTTTGATAGATCATTCTCTTCCTAACAGTTTAGACGTAGAATTTTGTGAAAAGGTAAGACGATAACTCTGGAGCCTTCAATGGGGTACATTATAATATGAAAATCCTAATTTCACATTATAATATGTCTCTTTTCAACAGGTTACATATTGTTGCTTTCCTTTTCTTCTTCTAACTAATCTTATTATTTGGCCACTGATTCAGCTCAGAATTATTGATTCATATAACTAAATTCAATGTTCGTGATCAAGTGTCCTCTGCATTGCATTTTCATGTATCTGGCTTCATCAATCAAATGATCCTCCTTCTTAACTCTAGAAGATGGCATGTATTCAACAGAATAACATAGTCGAACAAAAATTAAAACTCAAATAAACGTAATGAGGGTTAACAAAGAAGAAGTTTTCAATAATTGCAAATTATTACTCTGATGAAAGTCCAGATTCAAGGGCACAAAGAACCTTATCAGTAGACAAATCCGAATAAGGCAAAGTACATCCAGGAAGCAGTGATCCTTTTATAAATACTAATGAAGGATTAGATTAGATAATATCTCAGGTGAGTATGCTAACTCCATATTTTCATGTACATGAAATCTGATTTGTTTTCTTGTAATTGAAACTTGTGGACAACTTTTGTTGAATACAATATGAAATCAAGTCACCGAGATATTCAGGTATTTAAGTTGTTTTGTCTTCTTCTACTTGGGTTTCATTTGAGATATGGTAACATGATTATGTTGTTAGGTATGGATGCAATTGTAAAGAGGATACAGTATGAAGGATTGTCAAGATTCTACAAATTAAGGAATGAGCACCAACATAGTATTTGACTATTTACAGCCTCTCTACTTTTCATGATTGAGGAGTAGTTTGTTAAATAAAAATGTTAATTTGTTAATCTTTTTGTTGGAGTGAAATACTTATGGTGCTTGCTTATCTGCTAAAAGAATTAGGTGAGCTAAACACAGATTATTCACAATTTGAGTTGGAAAGAACCCATAAAGTTTCGTACATTGAACCCATCAGATATTAACGAACAATAATTAAAGTTGGAATATGAAACATTATGTTTTTTTTTAGTTTGTAATTTGGGAGGTTCTTAGACACTTCCTAACATATAGGAGGGCAATAGTGACACTTTTTTTTTATTTATTTTTTTTTATTTATGATTAAATGGATGAGATGCTGCATCCTATGTATGATAATGTTTGGATATGTTTTTGTTTTTGTTTTTAATTTGTGTTATCAGTCTCAAAAACAACAACTATGGGTGTTGTTTATTAACTACTTCTCCCCAAAACAACTATATTGTGTTGTTATCAAGTGCAGGTCCATAGGGGCTAATTGGGGTCTGTTTCAGAGCATTTTCGAGGCTCATTAAGATCTGTTTCGGGAACATTTAGAATCTGTATAGAAAATGATTTTGATCAGTCCTTTCGTCTCCGTCTAGAGGGATTCGATAGGGGTGCATCGTGAGATAGTAGGAGTATTACTTGGGGTGCCAATCGAGTTAGGATAAAACCTTTGTCACATAAATTTATGTTCAAATTTGTCATATTATCGATTTATTCAGGTTGATAAATCGTCTCTTTATTTGAGGTCTATTTCAAGGACGTTTAGAATCCGTTTAAAGTCATGTTATATACCTGACCAACTGACGAGTATAACACTAGTTCGAATTATGCCATGCAAACGAAGCAAGTAATGAATAACTGGCTCAAAAACTAACAATTGCCATTTACTATAATAGTAAATTGTTGAGAACGTAATGTTTTAATTTAAAATAATTTGAAAATACAAAATTATAATAAAAATAAATAATAATACAATGTTATAATAAATAAATAAAATATATTGCTATTTCTCAAATTTAACCATTTATTCTAAAAACTTAAAGTTAAACACACTTCGTTTACTTTAGTCAACAATTATATTTGCTAATCACTTTTTTAAAAGAATATATTTGCTAATCACTGACACACAAAAAAAATGGGTTTTCAGAAAATCGTACAATTGCTCGAGCAAAAAAGGCAAAACGGCCACCGAAAATAGACCATACATAAGACAAAATAAGTAACCATATTTTGGTAACCAGACCTCTAATTGGACCTGGTAAGTGGTCCAAACTTTAAAAAATTGTAATCGGTTGTATTTCGAAAATAAATGTCTACAATTGAAATGATATATAGTTTCGACATATATAATTAATGTATTTTTTGTTAACCAAATAACATGTTTACTCTTGTTTAATTTCTCTCTTCATAACTCTTAAATATTTATGCATTAAATAAGGGTAACTTAAAAATTTTGTTATTTCCTTTTGAAAGTGACACATATCTTTAGACAAACATAAATAAAAATATGGACATTTATTTTGGGATGGACTGATTAACTAGTTTCAGGCCTCTAGTAACTCATTCTAACTAGGGGTGAGCATAGGCGGGTACCCGCCCTTTTTGACAGGAACCGGAACCGGAACCGGAACCGGCGGTTTTTGAGATATTGGAACCGGAACCGGTTAGAGCGGTTCTTGAATTTTTGGAACCGGAACCGGAACCGCCGGGAACCGGTTCGGTTCCGGTTCCGGGTACCCGCTTCCTAAAATATTAAAATTTTGTTATTTAGAAATAAAAATAAAATATTGCCAAAACACTAAATTAAATAAACAAGAATACAAATTATACGGAATAATGGTTATAAATATAGTTTTAACGATTTCAAACCATAATAGACTAACAAAAAATGTTCAAAGTTTAACGATTATATACTATAATTTTAAATGTTCAAAACTTAACGATTACATACTACGAACTGTAGTTTAGTAGAACTAGAAAGTAGATGAAGAATGAAGATGACCGCGTCATTTGAAGATGTAACTTAATATAAATTTGGTATTGAAAAAAATCAATTATTTTTTTATTGAAAAACAACCGCCGGTTCCGAGTACCCGGCGGGTAACGGTTCCGAAAAACTAAGAACCGGAACCGGAACCGTTCTCAATCGGTTCCGTATTTTAGGAACCGGAACCACTCATATCGGTTCCGGTTCCGGAACCGGCGGTTCCAAGGCGGTTCCGGTTCCGCAAACGGGTATCCGATTCCGCTGCTCACCCCTAATTCTAACTAGTCCCGGTCCCAGTTCCGACCTGTCTCAAGATTTAAACCCATTTTCCCACATCTAGCCTGCGAAACTAATATTTCTAACCAAGACTAAGGTGCTGCTTACAAAACATTTACTCGGTAAATGTTTATCGACAAGAGAAATTACCTAAACTTATCTTATCATGTAACATTTTTCGTTATCAAAATGAATGCTTAGGGGTTGTTTACCCGATAAGTACTTACCTATGGGAGTCAACACTATAATTTATTTTGATGAGTAAAATTTTAGTACATCAAAACGTATTAAATGCAACAATTTATCAGGTAAGCGCTTACCTGGGTAAGAGTCGTAATCTTCACTTAACTGGTAAGATTGTTGGCCTTGTCATGTTCATCCGATAGGGAAATTTATTCGGTAAGCACTTAGTAAACGGCTCCTTAGTAAGCATCTTAAATCCAGTAAGCTAAGAGTCTTTTTCGTCACTTATCGGGTTAGATTGAGTCCTTGTTATGCTTCTTACCGGCAAGATTCTTGATCATAGTCATACGCAATAAGCATTTAGTAAATGGCAAATAAGACAAAACCGACTTAGCCAACTAAAACTAAGCCACAGACCAAGTAAAAAACCATCTAAAATTTAGCTAGAGTTTCGTCCTCTTTACCCAGAAAAACCTAGAGTAACAGGAATTGCCTTCTTATTGATTCAGGTAATTACCATAATGCAGCGTTGTTCCTAAGGGTGTTCTAACGTTGAATATGGAACAGCACCAAGGGACCCGCTTTAAGATTTGACGATTGTCTCGATTCCTGCTTTCGAATAATGTTAAAGGATGATTTTATTTAACTAAGTAGATTTCATATGTTACTTTATCATTTTAAGACATTTTTGTTGTCTTAATTTGTAGAAGAATTAATAAATATTATTTTTTTTATTTTTTTTACTCTTTATTCAGTCAAGCTATAGGTTTGATACAATAGTAACAAGACCCCCAAAAGTCACAAGTAACTAAGTAAGAATACATAAATTCCACAAATAAAAGATATCCGTCGCCATATGATGTTCGATTTATACGTCCCTTTTTCCAATCAATAAGAAACAATCTCAAAGGAAAGCAATAAGCTTATGATGAAATCAGATTGTACATGACAGACTATATATATGTTTGTCTAGGCTGTTGGTTTTCCGGTAACTCTTTGGGCGATCCACCCAAGGCCATCATAGAGACCATCGCCGGTCAGGGCGGAACAAGGTTGAATGTGCCAATCATGATTCTTAATACTGTGAAGGGAAAGGGCATCTGTTATTTCAGCAGGTGTCATTGCATCCTTGAGGTCCTGTTTGTTTGCAAATACCAGGATGACTGCATTTTGAAGGTCCTCGTTTGGCAGAAGCCTCAACAGTTCTTCCTTCATGATTGAGATCCTAGCTCTGTCTGTGCTGTCTATAACCGCAATCACAGCATGGGTCCCACGATAGTACGTAGCCCAGGATGTTCTCAGTCTTTCTTGTCCGCCTAGATCCCACACCTGTCGCAAATAGTAGCAGATCCCAGTTTTAATGTAATAAACTTTTTAACACAATTTTTACGTTTAGAATGTAATTTTATACTCTTTGGGATAGAGGTCAGGTCTACGTACATTTTACCCTCCCCAGACCTCCTCACCTCCCTTCCGGATGGAATATACAGGGTTCAGTTGGTTTTATTCAAACACACATTGTACAATATGTAGCAAAAAATACAATTGTGAAGATAAATTACAAAATTTGTCCCTAAAATTCAAGGTCATTTCTAGAAGGCCCTTAAACTATAGTCGTTGATATTTATGCATACAAACTTACATTAGAAGATTAGTCAGAATTGGCTGTTGAAGATGTCAAGATGGTCAACTGTGTGGCATGTGATAGGCATGGGAATGGGGCGGAGGCCTCAATCCCCGTCCCCAATTACTTAACTCTATCCCCGTCCCTATCCCCATCCCCACCGGGGAATATAATCACATCCCCATCCCCATACCCATACCCAACGGGGAAACGGGGATTTTTTTTCCGTTTATATAAGTTATTTTTGATTAAATATATTAGACATCATACATGTTTAAATCTCAAACATTTTCAATAAACCTAAAACCAAGATGAATTTAATTTAATTTAATACAAAAAGACCACAACATCATATAAGAATTAATAACCTAAAACCAAAAAAAATTTAATTTAATCCAAAAAGACTTAAAAGTCACATGTATCAAAAGATATTGAGTAATTTAAAGCCATATCGAGTAATGTACAAAAACTTATCGAGTAATTGTATTTTGACTTGACATCCAAAGTATTGCATGTTAACATCCAAAAAAATAACAATTTAGATTACAAACCTAGTTAGGAAATAAAAAATTATGAATTACCGTTTTAGTTGAAATAAATAATGTACATATATATATATGTATAAATATCTATATATATAATTTATTAATTAATACATATATATAACGGGTACGGGGCGTGGCGGAGAGTACGATACTCATCCCTGTCCCCATCCCCGTTTTGAGACAAAATGGGATCCTGTCCCATCCCCATCCTCGATTTAGTGGGGAATCCCCGTCCCCGACTGGGGTGGGTGGACCGGGTTCCCCCAATTCCCATGCCTAGGGGTGTAAACAATACGAGACAACTCGCGAGCTACTCGAGATCGACTCGGTCAAAGCTCGGTCAACACTCGACTCGAATAGGCTCG